CCCCCCCCCCCCCCCCCCCCCCCAAACCAGGTGGAGAAGCTCATGAATCGACTGCTGTACAATCAGTACAAGTTGAAGAAGGCGAGCGTGCTGCAGCGCGCCACATATCCGCAGATTGAACGGACTCTCTATCACGGCACAAGTGAGACGAGTGTGAAAGAGATCTGCGTTCACGGGTTCAACAGAAGCTTCTGTGGAAAGAACGGTATGTTTGTGATGCCGCTGTTCTCGTCTGACCCACTTTTGTCTCGTCTCGGGCGTCGATTTCTGACGTCTTTGTTTTTCTTCCACGCAGCCACCGTCTTCGGTCAGGGCGTGTATTTTGCTGTCAACTCGGCGCTGTCCGTCCAGGAGCAGTATTCCCCCCCAAATGCGGAGGGGTACAAGTATATCTTTGTGTCAAAGGTTCTAACAGGAGACTACACCAAAGGCTGCCATTCGATGAAGACGGCCCCGCTGAAGGAGACGGACGACATCCCCCTCCGATACGACAGCGTGACAGACGACATCACCAAGCCGGGGATGTTTGTCATCTTCAACGATACGCAAGCGTTTCCTGAATATCTCATCACGTGCCAGAGAATCCACCGCTGAGGAAACGGACGAGTTGTCAGTTTATAACCATAAATCTGGAGAGAATCTGGTTTATAAAGGGCTAATTATTATTAGAATTATAGTGAACGTTGTTCTTTTTCATGTTTGAAATGTCATCAAGCACTGCTGTTGAGTGGCTCCGCCTTCAGTTCTTCAGTTTAGTCAAGTCTGATCAAGAGAAGCTCATTTTAATTAACAATTCATTTGGTACAACACACTCGCATGATGGTTCTCCTTGCTTTAACTTGCAACCATCTGAAATATGTTGTATTTATGATTTAGAAATCACACATAAATGATTTGCTGCACGATTTTCCTTCATACAGAAAATGTGGATAGAACAAAGTTTTGGATATGTAACTATTTAGTCTGCTGACAATGCTGGATGTGCTACTGTGTAACCATTATCTTCCCCAGTCATTAGTTTGTGCACATAAAAAGTTTGATACGAACAGAATATGATATGTATTGTTCTGGGGTTTGAGTTTCCCTGAAGTTACTCTGAAGAGTTCAGGTTCTTCTTAGTTATATGAGAAGAGATTCGAGTCCACTGCTGCACCTAAAAGAAAATGTGATTTAAAAATCAATAACCATGTTTACAAAAAGAACAATTAGGCCTCGGTTGAAAATTACTACAATTATATATATTATTTCAAAGCTATCTATATATGTTGTAAATGTTTAGCCTTACATAACTGTCACATCTAGCCCGCTGTGCACTTCAGAGACATGTGTATTCTTGTTTAAATAAAACAGAATAATCTGAGTTAGTACATGTGCAAAGCATGTGGTGGGTCTTGATTCCCTGTTCCTACTTTATGCAGTAAACCGGCTGCATTCGCTGCCATCATTTGATTTGATGAATGTGCCTTTTTGAGTCCGTTTTGATTAGTGAAGCGCTTTGATCATACATTTTTGAGTATTCTTATGTCTGTGTGACTTCTGCTGGGGAGTATATTTACCAAAGATCTTTTCTTTTCTTTTATTACAAATTCTCTAAAATCATTTTGTTTTTTAGAAAACAAAGACATTGCAGTCTAAAGAAAGATCATTACTATTTTAAAGAAAAATAAAGCTTCTTCAAATGAGATACAATTAGGTGTTTCTTGGGAACATTTTTTGGGGATCAGACATTTGTGAGCTTTAGCAAAATTAAAACACTAAACAAGCTCGGAATAGGATTTTCGTTTGGTTAAACTTTGTAATCACTAGATGTCCATATATATAATTATTTATACTTTTATTAATTTGCATCACACTGTTAATTGTTTTCTATATGTAGAATTGTAACTGATTCTTAAAAGGATTGTAACAGAAGAGACAGTGAAATGTATCGTTTAATGAGTAATTTCTGTATATGTTTTTCCTTTTGCTAAATTGCAGCAAACAACCAGAGATTAAACTACATTTTACTAAAAACATGCCAATAATTTGTGTGACCTGAGACTATCCCAATGTCGCCTTCTTATTTTAAAGATATTGGAAGAAATTAATATCGTGTCCCTTTCTTTAAAATGGACAATCATCAACTGATGGAGTTCAGCGCCTGAACTGTAGGGAGCAGCAGTACACCTCGGAGCAGCTAGTCTGCCGGAAATGAAAGGGACGAAGAAGACAGCGACAACATAACGACAACTAACTGACCCATCCGTCCTACAAACGGTTAGCTTACCTGGCTCTTGGACAAGCTAGCTTAAGTTAATAAACCCACAAACTATGACACCCTAAATGTTAACAGAAGAAGGGACAATAAAGCTTCAGACTCTTATAACGTGTTTGATATAGGTACGTTGACAAGTTTAATTCACGATTTGCAAAAAAAAAAAAACCATGCCAAAAAAATATTGTCAGGTGCACGCGCTGTGCTATGCTAGCTAATATGCTAGCTAGAAATAGGGAACATTTGCGCGTTGCTAACATAGCTAAAGACTTTTCCGTTACATTGGTTATCTGAAGATAACTTGGCGGAGACACGCTGGTCACAACAAGTAACAACATGGCTGAATGGGCTAACGCTACTAGCATGCGTCATTAAATAGACGTTAGGCTACCAGGGGAAGCTAATTATCTAAGTTAGCTGCCAAAACTTAGCGTTTGTTTATGATGGGAGCAAATGTTCACATTAATAGTATTGATTCATATAGAAGTACTTTAACCTGCTGTCTTGAATAACCACAGATAAAACCATTAAATGTAGCTAGATATATATGCAGTCTCAGAGGGACGATAACGTAAATTACAACCATGCAGTGACTACAAAATAAAGCACTACTTTATTGATGGGGGCGTGTAATATTACATTTTGCATGTAGGTCATTTAAACTTAGCAAAATATCAGTATCAGCCATTGTTTCACGCTGCTAGCCAGTTTCATTTGGAGGGTTGGAGAACAAATGTTGGGTTTATTTATTGGACGGGCTCTCAAAAGTGATGTTAAGAGATCTTAACATGCCTGTTCTCACCTGTCAGATGCTGAGGTAACCCTTTCAGGATGTATGCTGTGTACAGACAAGCACACACACCCACCGCAGTGGAGTTCTCCGTCTACTGCAACTTTATATCCAGCAAGGAGAAGAATTTGGTCGTCGCTGGGACATCTCAACTTTACGTCTACAGGATTATTCACGATGTGGAGGTAACTATAAGTCTGTTTCACTGTACCACGTTTTTAAATACAAGCATTAACAGCTTTTTGTGATATGTGTAACATCTATGTCATCATTTCAGAGCACGTCGAAGGCTGACAAGTCTACAGGTATGTGTAGACGTCACGCTCAAAGTACACATTTTACTGTGAATTCATGATATCAACTTAAATGAGTGCATTTGTGGCCCAACGTCATTCTCTCCTCCTCCTACAGATTCTAAATCTCGTAAGGAGAAGCTGGAGCAGGTGGCATCCTTTTCTCTCTTCGGCAATATTATGTCCATGGCCAGTGTGCAGCTTGTGGGAGCCAACAGAGATGCACTCCTTCTCAGTTTCAAAGATGCCAAGGTATCATTGTCTAGGCTGCGCACTGCCCAACAACATTTTAAAACTGCTTAAAGTTGTGTTTGACCTGAGTGTGGTTGTGTTTGTTCCCTCACCAGTTGTCTGTAGTGGAGTACGATCCCGGCACACACGACCTCAAGACTCTGTCCCTCCATTACTTTGAGGAGCCAGAGCTCAGAGTATGTTCGGCAGCATTATCTGTCTAAATTAGAGGAAATGTTGACATACACGAGTGAACTAATTGTTAAGCTAATTTGCAACTCTTTTTTACACTTTCAGGATGGTTTTGTACAGAATGTACATATTCCCATTGTCCGTGTAGATCCAGAGAATCGCTGTGCTGTAATGCTCGTTTATGGCACCCAGCTTGTGGTGCTGCCATTCAGGAAGGACACTCTAACTGATGAACAGGAGGGTGGAGTTGGAGAAGGGTACGCCTGCTGTCCACTCTACATTCTGCTCATGAATGTCTTCCAGAGTCTGGTTGGCACTTGTGTCACAAAACCATAAACTGTTTGGTTGTTACTAAATGTGGAAATTCACATTTCAATTTATAACTTAAACTGCCATTTGACTAAAAAAGGCCAACGTAATCTTGCTGCTGTTAAAGTTTACACAGACCGTAGTTATCTAACCATGTCTGACATGAATGGATAGTGTAATGGTTTAACTACGAGCACTTCTGTCATTGTATCTCATCTACAGACCTAAATCCAGCTTCCTACCCAGCTACATAATTGACGTCCGCGAGCTGGACGAGAAGCTGCTCAACATCGTTGACATGAAGTTCCTCCATGGCTACTACGAGCCCACATTGCTCATCCTGTTTGAGCCCAACCAGACATGGCCCGGGTCAGTCCACCACGTTATCAGCATTAACCACCACTTTTATGTTGTTTTACTCAACCAGTTGCTGTTTGCTATAAATATGGCCTTGTTTTGGTTTCATTCTGCCAGGCGCGTGGCTGTGCGCCAGGACACTTGTAGCATCGTTGCCATCTCCCTCAACATAATGCAGAAGGTGCATCCTGTCATCTGGTCCCTCAGTAATCTGCCTTTTGACTGTACGCAGGTCATGCCTGTTCCCAAGCCAATCGGTGAGCTCAGGGAATTCTCTCTCTTGTCTCTGTTTATGAATGGTGTGGTGTGGTAACACTTAAGTGTTAAATATACATTTAGACTCTAGTGTTTGCATTGTAGCTTCTTTGCTCACATATCAACTTTTTTCCAGGTGGTGTGGTGGTGTTTGCTGTGAATTCATTGCTGTATCTGAACCAGAGTGTTCCACCATATGGAGTTTCTCTCAACTCTCAGACAAATGGGACCACAGCATTCCCTCTGCGTAAGCATTACCATCGGAAACACACACACGTATACTTGTATCTCTGATATCTGGCCTCGTTGCATTACATATCATTTGATACTCTGTGATGCTCATCACTGGATGACGTGTCTTGGTTTCCCAGGTGTACAGGATGAAGTGAAGATCTCACTAGACTGCTCCCAGTCTGACTTTATTGCCTATGACAAGATGGTCATCTCTTTGAAAGGAGGAGAAATGTGAGTCATTGTAATCACCACAACAATGAACATAAACAATGGTGGCAGTTTACGATTCTTCACTGATTGACTGTTATCGTCTTGCAGTTACGTGTTGACCCTCATAACTGACGGCATGAGAAGTGTCCGAGCTTTCCACTTTGACAAAGCTGCTGCCAGCGTCCTGACAACCTGCGTAAGTTCTGCCCGCAACTGTGAGCCGCAGTGGTCTGATGAGACAGGAAGTCTATATCTTCTGTAGTCTTTTATGTTTCCGTGGACAAACACAACACAATAGAGCACAAAAGGCTGGAGGGATTACGGTTTGACTGACAGGGTTTAGAAATACCAGCACTTCAAGATTAAAGCTTCCGAATACCACAGAAACACTCCAGACTTTACCCAAAACCCACAGGTAGTTTCTTATATCTGGCTGACCTTTTAGGGTGTGGAGTAAATACTGAATACCTCTTTAGTCTGTCAGTCTTCAGGGGATTTAGAATAGAAACTGATATTTCACGCTCCCGGCTCGCCTCCTCCAGATGGTGACCATGGAGCCCGGCTACATTTTCCTGGGTTCCCGCCTCGGCAACTCGCTGCTCCTGAAGTACACGGAGAAGCTTCAGGAGACGCCACCAGAGGAGGGCAACGATGACCTGGAAAGTGAAGAGAAGGATAAAGATAAACAGGTTTGTGATTGCATGAAATGTCAATTTTAACAAAGCCTTTTGTCGTGAAGTACCATTGAAATGCCATCTTTCTTTTCACTTCAGTTATGTTTGTGTAGTTGCAGCTACTTCAGTGTCGTCTTGTCTATAAACTAAATCACTGCTAATAATTTCCAGGAAGAACCGCCAAGCAAAAAGAAGAGAGTAGAATCTTCCACCAACTGGACGGGTATGTTGCAGTTTACTTTTTGATTTGTGTGTGTGTGTGTGTGTGTGTGTGTGTTATCTGTGTTTTATCTGTCAATCTGTGTTTCACTGAACTTCTGTGTGTTGTCAGATGAGGTGGATGAGATAGAAGTGTACGGAAGTGAGGCCCAGTCAGGCACCCAGCTGGCCACATACTCCTTTGAGGTAAAAGAGGAAAAAAGAAAAGCTTAAATTGCTTTTTATATAAATGCTTGTCTGTGTGGAGGATGATTGATTATCTGTGTACATGCAGGTGTGTGATAGCATACTCAACATTGGACCTTGTGCAAATGCCTCCATGGGTGAACCTGCGTTCTTGTC